ATTCCTGCCTTGAAAACCCGCCCACAGCTCCCATTAACCCAGTGCAGATGTCCAGCCAGTGCTGGGAGGCGACCAGGCTGCAAGAACAGAATTCCCTGTAGTCTCCGACAGCTTAGTGGAGAAACCAAATGTTTTTCAAACGGGCCAAGTAAAACCGAGCGGCCAAAGGTCAGAGGGACTTCGACCCCCCCATTGCTGCGGTTCACAATGAGTGGGAATCCCCCCCTTTACTGTGTGCCAAATGAAGCATGCGAGTTCTGCAGCGCTGGTCTTCAATGGGGTCTTTCTGAAGTAATGAACCAAAAGTATCTTAGAATGACAAAGTGAACGCATCCTGGTCACCAGCATCCTGTATCTCCAATGAAAAGCATGATCTAGGGCTTTTCTTCTGTCTGCGCTGGCCATAGCCAGGGCTCTTTGGGGGGCTCTGCCGGGGTCTCCACTCAAATGCACACGTGTTCTCGGCGTGACCGGTGCACCACCGGCAGGGAAGCCGGCGGCGGTGGCCCTCCTTCTGCTCCGCCGGGGCCTGGCTGGAGGACAGTGGCCGTGGAGCTCGGGGACCTCCGCAGCAGGGGGCTGACATATTCTTGCTTTTCTCTTTCATACTCTGGTCTAATTAACCTAGCAAAAAGGATAAACTTGCTTTCCTGGCAAAACATCCTGAGATACCCCAGGGAAAAGCATCTTTCTATTTCAAACATCTTTTGATTCGTAATTACTTTCCTGCTTTCCTTTCCAGGCTACTGCAGACGTTACTTCTAAAGTTACATCCTTCTTGTGTTGACACATTAAGAAAAGCGCCTTTAAAAGAAGAAAAAAAGGGCATTTGTAGTTAGTTCCTTGGCTACAAGGAGCGAGGGAACACACAGACGCTAACAAAGCTGAGCAAGATCCAGACCTGCTCCTGGGACGGGTCGGGCTTTGCTGCGAGGAGTGGAGGAGCTCTGCACGCGTGTCCTCCTGCGTCCCCGGGGCTCAAAGCGGACGCTGCCGTTAGCCACGACAGAGCCAGCAACGGCAGCACCAGGGTCAGAACGGCATCAATTCCGCAGAGTTTTTCAGTTAGAGTTGCAGTCCATTTTCCAAGCTGTAGGTATCTCATTGAAAGAAAATATTGCAGGTATTTAAGCAAGGTGTGTGTGATTATTACTTAAAATGCTATTTATGTGCTTGTAGGAGGCCTGGCTTATTATGTGGCTAAAAACTAGATGAAATGCCCTTCCAGTAGAGATGCCCGCGCCACAATGCAAAATTCTCCAGCCCCAGTGCCCACCAGGAATCTCTGCAGGTCGGGAGCCGCTGGGCTCGGGGGCTGGCCACACTTTTGGTTTACATGAATTCCTACTGCTCCCGGTCCCCAGCGCTTGGGAACCGGCTCCGCTTAGCGCTTCCCAGAAGGATGCCCTGGCCCCGCCGCTGTGTTGTGACAGCTGAAAGTCACCGCGGAGCCAGGGCGCCTCTGCTCTGCAACCGCCGAGTCTTCGGATGCATCAGGGTTGACCCTTCTCGAAACAGAAAGGTTTTTGGGTTGAGACAGAAAGGTTTGCCCTGGCTGCTGCGGTTCCCTGTGCCACAGAGACCCGACCCGGTCGGGCTCGCAGGGACTGGAAGGCGGTGCTGGGCAACGTGCTCTGGCCGGGAATCCCCTCCCGCAACCGCGGCTGTGCCAGCTGGGGATGCTCAGGGACCAGCTCCACTCCAGGGTGCATGAAACTATGCCAGGCCAACAGGAAAACCTGCTTGGCAAGCAGCGTGCGGTGCACAGAGCTCTTGCAGGAGCTCAGTCCCTTTGATTTAGGGCCTGTTTCATCAGTGTATTCCCCAAGGGCTGTGTTTGGCCAGGATGAAGCATTTACGAAACAGCAGCTGCTGTTATGGTCTTCCCCTCGGCTGCAATCGCTCCTCGGCGTTCCCAACACCATCGCCCAGACGGTGCGGCGGGTTTGGCCGGGTGTCCCACGGGAGGGATTGCCCCTTGCCCCGGTCCCAGCCATGGATGTGACCCCGCACGTGGCCAGGGGCCGCAGGAGAGGCACGCCAGGTTGGGTTAGCACCGAAATGAAGTGCGAAACCGCTGTAGGCGTCAACACAACACAGGGGCTGAAGCTGTTCCATCTGGCAGGCACCAGCGGGCCGCCAGCACCTACCCCATCCACACCCATCGCGCTCTAATCACCCAAATCCCACTTGCCAACGGCAGCTTTAGGTGATTTTCAGGTGCAAACTGATTGCTCCTTCCTGCTGCAGCTAAGAGAGCAATCACACCCCTGCTGGTGCTAATACCAAATCATCTCCACTTAACTGCGTTTTCAGTGAGAAATCCCTTGAAATTCCCCAAGGGGAAGAGAAGATATGAAACCCTACCATTTCCTTCAGTAACTGTTTAATTGAACACACTCATGAGCCACAGCCATTAAACCCCACCACATTTAGCGGCTATCCCTTAGCAAAACCTGGGAGCGTGAGGAAAGCTCCAGGAAAGAAGGAAAACAGGACTGAACACAGGCTCTTGGAACAGAAAAATTTACACCACGTCGCAAAGGAACAAAACGCAAACAGTGAAGTCATGGCTTGTGTTTTACATACAAATCGCATGCAGGAATTTCCCCCGTTCTGGGACTGAACGTGTCTCCCGACAGCACAGGCGAGGGAGGAACGCGCCCTGGGCTGTGTCACCGCGCTGCACGCACGGCGCGGCCGATGCTGGCTCCAGCCTCTCCCTGCTCGGTGCATGTAGGGTTGCCTTCACCGTCTCCCAGTTTTGGGGCGTTCTCCACAGCCTGAAGAGTAATACGGAAAGAAATTCCTACCTAAATGCTCCTGACCCTCCTCCAGGGACCAACCTAACAGCAAATCCTCCCTAAGACAGGGAGGGATTAACATACGACACTCCCGGACGGGCGGTAAGGGCTGTGCCGGCCGAATGCTGCTCCTCGTACAATATTGGATATTCTAGTTAAAAGAATCAGCTAACCTTAACAGAGGTGAATCTAGATAAGCAGGAAAAAGGTTTTTAGCTTGTAAGAACACAGAAAAATACCTTAACCAACCATTAAACTGCTACGCTGTAACTGCCTACCGAAATCCAGGCGCGTAAGTACTTTGCTGCTCAGGAGGAAGGATGCAGCGAAGGGGACATGCTGCTCTCCACCGGGGCCAGAGCCGCTTTCCCCCTCCTTCACCAATACATACGAGGGGATACACTGTTGGACTCCAAAACCAACGTGTCTTTTCACTTGTGACTTAGTGTCCCTGAGCATCCCCTCTGCTCCAGCGTGATCCGGGTGATGGCTTCGGCAGCAAAAGCCACAGCGGGAAGAGGAGGGTACGGAGCCTTCGCGCACACTGCGAGCCCTGGACTCGTGGGGGTACCTGAAGCTGATACTTTATTCCTCCGCCCTGTCTCCATTTCTTAAATTACGGCTATTCAGCTTCAGTGTGTAAACATTTTAATGAAAATTACAGAAATGGGTTGCCAGCTTCAAGTCCCTTAACGAAAAAAAACCCCTAACCCAAATGGTCGGCTGTACTGGTGGAATGCTAGATGCTCACTGCATATATATAAAAATAATAATAAAAGTCAAGAGTTTCGTGCTGGCCTGCCAACACCATCAAGAGGCTGAAAACATCAAATGATAGCACCATAAGCATTTCTGAGAGGTCTCCCCCAAATTATTGCTGCTTTTGGTTTCCCTTCCCCAAAATGTTTCCCCGCTGGTCGCCCAGTGGCAGCGTGACCCCGATGGAGGATCCCGGCTGCCCCGGCGTCTCCCGAGGGACCAGCGGGACCTGCACACCCAGCCCATGCCAGACCTTATTTTTCAGACCGAAGGTTTGAGCACCGTTATAGTGTAGCACAAATAAAAGAAATCAAGCCTTCCCTTTGTTTTGAAAAGAGCACC